GAACTTGAACAAAAAGATGATGACCTGGAACAGTATTCAAGACGCAATGACTTGGTGGTTACTGGACTTGAAGTTAAACACCAAACTTATGCAAAAGTTGTAGGAAAAGAAAACATCACGGATGATTCTTCTCACAAGGAACTGCTTACATTGGAGCAACAGGTCATGACTTGTGCAGAACAAGGACAATAATATCAAGCATGATGACATTTCCATCTGCCATACCTTACTTACTAAGTCAGACAAACTAAAACCAGCTATAGTTATCAGATTTATCAGTAGAAAATCTAGAAATAATTTAATAATGCAAGCAAGAAAACTTAAGGCAACAAATGTCTACATAAACAAACATCTAACAAAAAAGAAATGCAGTTATTGCATGTGAGGCAAGACTGTTAAAAAAAACTGAAAAGAAATGTTGCAACTTGTATAAGAAACTGAAATATATAGATCAAAGTAAAGGAAGGAACACAGGCCAAAATAATAACTTCAAGATTTCGAAGGATTCAGATAAATTAAGATGAGACAAACTACAAACTTAAAAGCTGTTACAACTTAGTACAAATTATTTAATAAAATAAACAGATGATGAGATATACACTTAAACATGACAACTTATGAGGACTCAGAGATTAAAATTTATAATTTAGATACTATAATAGACCAAAAACAATTTCCAATAATCAATAACTCTGAATATTACAATGAAGAGCAATTTAAAAATAATATAACAAATGGAGGTCTTTCTTTAATAGATTTTAATAGTAGAAGCATAAATAAAAAAAATATTTAAAATAACAGATTATTTAAACAGTTAAATAGAACTTCCACAATAGTGGCACTTTCAAAGATGTGGTTTAATGATTTAAACATAGATAATATTCATACTGAGGGGTATGAATTATATAAACAGAAGCAATGAAAGGGGTGGTGGAGTCGGTCTATTTGTTAATAATGGAATAAAATGTCAAATAATTCATCAAACGTCCACGATGGTGGATCGTGTTACAAAACAGAACAGTTATTTTGTGTGGTGATTTTAATATAGACTTGGGGGGAAAAAGAAACTCAAATTAGATTGGTACTTTTATAAATTCAATGCACAGTTTAAACCTCTATCCATTGATATCAAAACCCAACAGAATCACAACTCACAAGTGCTACAATAATTGACATTTTTACTAATATAACAAGTGATGAAGTGATAGGTGGTATCTTGACAACTGATATATGTGATCACTTACCTGTTTTCATGATTGGTAAAAAGGATCAATTTAGTAAAGAAGCAGTCTCAAGTAAGACAAAAACAATAAATACGTCAAAAAGAGTTTAGAATAAATAAAAGGAAGATCTGGGAAAACAAAACTGGAGAGAGGTCTATGTTGATGTGAACAAAGCTTATGAGGTTTTCATGAATATTTTAGGACCTTTGTATGAAAAGAACTGTGTGCAAAACAATTATAAAAAGTCAAATATAATTGACAATCCGTGGATGACAAAAGGATTGAGAAATGCTTGTAAACATTGCTTGTATTCATGTTTCTTGAAGTTGAGAACAAAAGAATCAGAAGAAAAATACATTAAGTATAAAAACAAGTTGGTATGGATTATTAGAAAGCATAAGAAGAAATATTTTAGTGATTTACTAGATAAAGTAAAAATGATATGAAGGCAACATGGCGAGTACTAAATGGTGTTTTGAAATGCTTGTTTAGTATTCAAAGAATAACAATTAGCTATACAGTAAATTAAATGACAGCATGCCTTTATCTTTGCCAAAGCAGTGTAAAATTTTCTGTAAAATTCTAGTAAAAATATATTTTTTATCTATTTACCAAGGTGCAAAAAAGACTAGGCGAATGTGGTCAAAACTGRAGGTGGATGCAGTGGAAAAGACTTTAATGAGCTTCATCAAAAGTGGGAAGATGCCTGGTAAAGCTGACTGTGAAACATGCATTGCTGCCGACACTGAAGCCCTGTCTGAGCGTGACTGGAGAGCGGTAAAATTTTATGTTCACAACAGGATAGTTTCCAGTAGAAGATATTGAATAATAATGTAGKTTCAGAGGTATGTTCAGTCTTGTATTTTTTGTTATTGTTTTTAATCACTAACCGCCAGTTCATAATGAATGTGATTGTTTAATATGTTTACAGTTAGTGTACAGTTTTTAGTAGTTTTGTTGTTGTAAAAGAAGTTCGGGCTGGACCCTTAAAATTTAAAACATGTTAAGAAAATAAAAGCCTAATGTTCTAATGTTTGTATTTATGATTTTATTTTGTTTGCAATTTTATTCTAAAGTTTTATTTTACTTGTCTGAAGTGTCTAATTTAGTTTAGACATCTGAAATAATTTGCTTTCATGTGGAGATAAACTTGGTCACCAAATAGACTGAAAATAAAAAACTGCATTTTAGAAAATCTTGTCTTATAATGGACATAACTATCTTTGAATCAATATCATTGTTGTTGAGAAAGTCATGGTTGACTTAAACGCAGAGCACATACAAGTGATGTAAAGTTATGAAGATTTATTGATAAGTAACAGAGACTTTGAGACACAGAGTGTCTCCATTGGATGACTTATTTTAAACTAATATTGTAGCAGACCTGTAAACAAGACATTATGCATTGATTCCATTAGTTGGTGATTGCATCAATAAACATTTTTTAATTTTTATTATTAATTTATTTATTTTGTGGTGGTGGTCCTAAAAAGAATAGTAAATGTATGCTGTAATTTAAAAAAATTACAAATTTTTGCTTTTTCAGTAATCT